TTTGTGTCTAGATTAAAACCTTATTATGCATACTTCTATTTTTAATAGTTCATTTTCATGCCTGTCACTTTTCCATCTTTTGTGGTCTATAACTTGGAAACGCGTAATCATAGCTCGATGCGGTTTGCACGGATCAATCTTATTTCGGACATAGATTAATGTTTTATGACTAATAATTTTGTAGCTTATATCCGGTGACACGATATTTTCGCATCGGCCGGCCTTGAACTTTCCGCTTTAATTTCTCGGTAACGAATACGCGCACCTTGTTATAATTTGCGAAGATCTTTCTTATTTTGGGTCTAGATTAAAACCTTATTATACATATTTAGATTTTTAATAGTTCATTTTCATGCCTGTCACTTTTCCATCTTTCGTGGTCTATATCTTGGAAACCCGTTATCATAGCTCGATGCGGTTTCCACGGATCAATTTTATTTCGGACATAGATTAATGTTTTATGACTAATAATTTTGTAGCTTATATCCGGTGACACGTTATTTTCGCATCAGTCGGCCTTGAACTTTCCGCTTTAATTTCTCGGTAACGAATACGCGCACCTTGTTATAATTTACGAAGATCTTTCTTATTTTGGGTCTAGATTAAAACCTTATTATGCATACTTCGATTTTTAATAGTTCATTTTCATGCCAGTCACTTTTCCATCTTTCGTGGTCTATATCTTGGAAAAGCGTAATCATAGCTCGAGGCGGTTTGCACGGATCAATCTTATTTCGGACATAGATTAATGTTTTATGACTAATAATTTTGTAGCTTATATCCGGTGACACGATATTTTCGCATCGGCCGACCTTGAACTTTCCGCTTTAATTTCTCGGTAACGAATACGCGCACCTTGTTATAATTTGCGAAGATCTTTCTTATTTTGGGTCTAGATTAAAACCTTATTATGCCTATTTAGATTTTTAAAATTTCATTTTCATGCCTGTCACTTTTCCATCTTTCGTGGTCTATATCTTGGAAACGCGTAATCATAGCTCGATGCGGTTTGCACGAATCAATCTTATTTCGGACATAGATTAATGTTTTATGACTAATAATTTTGTAGCTTATAACCGGTTACACGATATTTTCGCATCGGCCGACCTTGGACTTTCCGCTTTAATTTCTCGGTAACGAATACGCGCACGTTATAATTTATGAAGATCTTTCTTATTTTGGGTCTAGATTAAAACCTTATTTGCATACTTCGATTTTTAATAGTTCATTTTCATGCCAGTCACTTTTCCATCTTTCGTGGTCTATATCTTGGAAAAGCGTAATCATAGCTCGATGCGGTTTGCACGGATCAATCTTATTTCGGACATAGATTAATGTTTTATTACTAATAATTTTGTAGCTTATATCCGGTGACACGATATTTTCGCATCGGCCGACCTTGAACTTTCCGCTTTAATTTCTCGGTAACGAATACGCGCACCTTGTTATAATTTGCGAAGATCTTTCTTATTTTGGGTCTAGATTAAAACCTTATTATGCATATTTCTATTTTTATTAGTTCATTTTCATGCCTGTCACTTTTCCATCTTTCGTGGTCTATATCTTGGAAACGCGTAATCATAGCTCGATGCGGTTTGCACGGATCAATCTTGTTTTGGACATAGATTAATGTTTTATGACTAATAATTTTGTAGCTTATATCCGGTGACACGTTATTTTCGCATCGGTTGGTTTTGAACTTTTCGCTTTAATTTCTCGATAACGAATAGGCCCACCTTATTATAATTTGCGATAATCTTTCTTTGCGGTCTAGATTGTAACCTTATTATGCATACTTCGATTTTTAATAGTTCATTTTCATGCCTGTCACTTTTCCATCTTTCGTGGTCTATATCTTGGAAACGCGTAATCATAGCTCGATGCGGTTTGCACGGATCAATCTTGTTTCGGACATAGATTAATGTTTTATGACTAATAATTTGGTAGCTTATATCCGGTGACACGATATTTTCGCATCGGCCGGCCTTGTAGTTTCCGCTTTAATATCTCGGTAACGAATAGCCGCACCTTGTTATAATTTGCAAATATCTTTCTTATTTTGGGTCTAGATTAAAACCTTATTATGCATACTTCGATTTTTAATAGTTCATTTTCATGCCTGTCACTTTTCCATCTTTCGTGGTCTATATCTTGGAAACGCGTAATCATAGCTCGATGCGGTTTGCACGGAACAATCTTGTTTCGAACATAGATTAACGTCTTACGGCAAATAATTTTGTATCTTATATCCGGTGACACATTATTTTCGCATCATTCGGCCTTTAACTTTCCGCTGTTATTTCTCGATAACGAATAGGCGCACTTTGTTGTAGTTTGTAAGGATCTTTCTTGTTTTGGATCTATATTAGAAGCTCGTCCATATTTCGATATTTAACATTTCATTTCTGTGTCTGTCACAATTCCATCTTTCGTGGCTTATATCTCCGAAACGCGTGGTCACAACTTGATGCGGTTCACACGGATCAGTCTTGTTTCGAACCTAGATTAATGTCTTGTAGAGAATAATTTAGCAGCTTATTCCCAATCTACCTTCACACTTCAGGTTGGCAGCTAATTACCGGACCCTTGGTATAATCTTCATAATATTAATTATGCACAATGTCAATTCTTATTTTTTTGCACATCTTAACACGTTAATTCCGTTTACAAAAGCGTCACAATATGCGAGACTGTGCTTGTCAAATACGCTATTATGGTTGTAGCACTGACATAAACCGCCCGAAATGGATGTAGCACGACGCCACCACGTGCAGGTTTTACCGCCGAGACCTGAAAGTGGAGTAGCATCGTAGTTCCCTTCTTGAAATGGATGCAGATGGCGCCTTTTCCCAATGCGGAAAGTCGATGTCTCCGAAAACGCCGTGGTGGCCGCTTTCAGCTTCCTCTCTACTGTTACTTTCTACAAGACTCAACTTTATATATATATATATATATATTTCTTATATTTCAGGACCCATTTTGTAAATATATATACAGGGTGCTAAATTTCAAACGTAATAGGTAAGAAATCTCGAAAACTATGAAAGATATTAAAAAAATCTAAAACATGTGTTCTTTCGAAGCAGAAACTGAATGGCATTATCAGTTTTTTATTTGGAAGGCATTTTCAAAGTTGGTTGAAGGTCAGCTTAATTTTTTTAAGTTGAAAGCCCAATTTTTTATTGTACCTTCTTTTTTCACCAATTAATTTGAACAACTTTTGTGTAAAACATTTTTTTATTTGCCTAATATTTTTTAGAGATATTTAAGGAAAACTTGGTAACTTTTTCCACATTTATCTTGCGATATCTCGCTAACATTCGTCGACAGAAAGAATAGTATTAGACTTTTTTACTTTATTTACTATCAAGTATATATTACTATAATAGTGTCCTTACTTTTGTTAATTTAATAATTCTGAAGTTTCCAAAGGTCTATAAGTTAACAAAAGTTAGGGCACTATTATAATAATATATTCTTGATAGTAAATAAAGTAAAAAAGTCTAATACTATTTTTTCTTTCGACGAATAGTTAGTGAGATATCGTAAGTTAGATGTTGGAAAAGTTACCAAGTTTTCCTTAAATATTAAATATTTCAAAAAAATATTAGGCAAATAAAAAAATGTTTCAGACAAAAGTTGTTAAAATTAATTGGTAGAAAAAGAAAATATTATAAAAAATTGGGTTTTCTATTTAAAAAAATTAAGTTGACCTTCAACTGACCTTGAAAATGCCCTGCAAATAAAAAGCTGATAATGCCATTTTGATTCCCCTTCGAAACCATGGCACACGTGTTTTAGCTTTGTTTAATATCTTTCATAGTTTTCGAGATTTTTTACTTGTTACGTTTGAAATTTAGCATCCTGTATATATATTTACAAAATCGGTCATGAAATATAAAAATAAAAATAAATTTATTAATAAACTTCTAATATTACAACTTTAATGGTTCCTACAGTTACTTGTAGGAGTTAACAGTTAGCAGTTACCTGTTGTTGTCCCGTACAGTCGCTTATAATATATATGTGTGTGTGTGTATGTGTGTGTGTGTGTGTGTGTGTGTTAATAATCAAAATCCTGCTTTATAGTGACGTTAGAAGTAATAAAAGGAATATGGCCGAACAATTTGATGGTGATTACGTTAACGAAGCAATATTTCTCATGTTCCAAAATTGTATTGTACGTGACATGCTGCAATGCCCGGTACAGTCTTTTATATACGAAAAATGTTATGCGGCCTGATTGCGAAATCTGGCTTTGTAAAGACCTCGGGGATAGATCGAGGAATTGTTCTCATTTTCAAATTTTTGCTGCAGCTCAAATATTTCTGCATGTGCTGGCCATGACATTTTACAATTCTTCCCCGAAGATTGAAATGTTCCATCCATTGCTTGAATTTTTTATATAACCAACTAAAACCACGCACAAACAAGGTACTCACGTAAAAAGCAAGAAGATACATCTCATAAATTATCCGTTATATATATATATATTTATTCTGTTAACTGCAATCATTATGCAATACAGCGCTACATGTAATTGTACCATTTGTCAGAGAAGATTCCTGCTTTGGATAAAACGCGACTTGAAACATTCATTGTACACGGAAGTTCGATAGATCAAATATATGTGTGTACATATATATATGTATATATATACACATACATACACACATATATATACATACAGTGTACTATATAAACGGTCGTGGGGAGGGCTTGCAGGCGCGTAATTAAAGTCACAAACAATCAACGTGTCCCTAAAATAACCATATAAAAATAGTAGAACATCTATCGAGCACATAATCCTTCCCGCATCTAACGATTCGTTTCGGTTTCTTATAAAATTTATCGGTAATATGCACTATATACCAGATCTATTATGCAACTCGAACTTAATTATATACATCGAGATGATACAGCACTTTCTGTGCAGAACGTTAAATGGAAAGACTGCGTTCTATACGAGGTCGAACTAGATCCCGGCAAGAAAGAAGTACATTGAAAGAAATTTATGTAAGGACTCAACTTCTTGCGTGATGAATTCCAATCTACTTGTTTCTCACAGGGACGCTACGCTATTACAAAATGACTATTATGTAAAGACTTAGTCCACGTTGTAAAATTGCACCCACCGACACTCACGCTGCAACATGCATCGCAATCTATACTGCCGTATCTAAATTACTACATCTGACCGACTTACTACATAATGCCTATAAAACGATGTCCCCAATCAATTAACGCACGCTTACACGACAATCGGTTTAGTAATTTTCCGACGTTGTAAATATCAATGCTAGAGGTGCGTGTGCTAAATATGAACTGTACTTTACACCGGTATTGTGTCATTTGCTGTTATTTGTTAACGAAAATGTATGTAGATTAATAGACCAGAATCCTTTAAACCAACATGCGTTTCAAAAAATTATAACTATGAATATTACTAACGCCGACTAGACGAGACGTGTAAACGTGGTCATTGCCGTCTCAAATTCGGAAGAAAGTCCTCAATTTCAAATTGCCTCGTTCCGATATCCATCCACACAGTTCACTGTCAGTTCTTTCAGTTCAGTTCGGGTTACAATCTACGTTTGACGAAGAACTGTTCTTAAGTATTCTAAGAGTTAAGAATTGATCCGTTGTCTCGCTGTGATACCAGTATTGAATAGAGTTAATTCGATAGATGTGCTTCTCATGCATCTCGTAAAAGTCGGGAAAAGATCATTGTTCATACGAAGAAAAACAGGTATTACGAAAGAGCTCGGTATAAATCGATATGTCGTGTCAGACAGTTCCCTCGATAGTTGCTAGCGCGGTTCTACTATTAGTTCTAGACACATAAAAAAATGCATGTAAAATACTATTAGTATATAATCAATCATTAAATTAAAATGCACAGCAAATTATCAGTCTTCTTATAAGAAGAACGTTAAGTGGGTTCTCGTTTTAACCAGAGTGTCTCTATGATTTACGTTCGTCTTCGTTCTTATGGCAAATAATATATTCCCAAGAGAAACTTTATACTTTAATAAATAATTTCATCGGTATAGTAAAATGTACGTCACGAGCGTTACGTTACGAGCGGGTTAAAAATCAAGCGTCCGAACGATTGATACGATTCATAGTGAGAAGAGAAATAGTCTACACGAGCGTACCACTATCTATAAATTAATTTGTGCACGTCGTGTTGGGATCGTTCCGCAATCGTTTTAATCGTAACGCCCCTTTTACGGAATAAAATCTTGAATTCATTTATATTACTAAATAAATTAATAATTTCTATAATGTTACAAACTATACTCTACATATATATACACAACTTACAAATTTAATATAATGCTCTTTTCCTGCACTTTGGAAAGTACGATTGAAAAATAAGGAACGTTATCGTATTCAGCGAATCGTATGAGAAAGTGAAACGGAATGAAAAGAATGTAAAGTAAACACCGTTTCTCTCACGATAGTGACTTGATTAATTGACCTCGATTTTTCTTGTTCACGTAGTTCTTTTAACCATCCTTTGCGTATCTTATTCACCGCGATGTTATCGACTTTTGATCGTTTAACTCTAAGTACACTCGGGTAAGCTTCTTCGTAACAGCGAAATCCTAAGTGGGATATTATCACTTGATAATTATCACGATACTAAAACATTTTACATGTAGCGACTAATTCGATTTAATTAACCGACAATCATCGCGTCGGTTCAGTTGCGCGATCGCGCAATCACGCTCTTTCTCATCTCTACTGTCGTATTATATTTTTTTCTAATTTCTCTCTAATTGAAGTTCGAAAAGTCGGTCTTTAGCTTGATCGACGGCGCAGATATCTTGATCTGCGGCTTCACGGGATCGACTGGTCGGCTAAGTCGCTGCGCTTGCTGGTGGCTGGATCTCACAGCGTTTTCCAATTTGGTTTTCAACTCGCTGGACTGTGACATCAGCGTCTTAAATTCCTAAAAGTTTGAACAAATTGTTTAGATAATAATAATGATAATAACATATAATCAATGTAAACACACCCTTCACTAGTATGATTCGAAATATATTACCTGCGGATACTTTGGCCCGATCTTGTTGAGCCACTGAAAACTCTGTTGATGAAGACTTGCTTGATACTTTGTAGCGCGCTGAAGTTCATCGCCCTCCAGCAAATAATTGATTAAAATTGGCACAAGTAAGGTCAGCATTTGAATACCTAAGAATTTCAAACACGTTACATTGTATATGCCGAGTCTACGTGTTATATACACGATATAAACGATAGATTGTAGCACTTATTAAAATATCGGAAGATTAGAATATCAAGATCTCTACTAATCACACACCTTGTAACAGATCTCCTGAATAGCGTGCAACATATTTTCCATTAGAGTATCATTCCATAAGCTAATTATGAAGTAGTAATCGCGTAGCATGCGATTACTGTTAATCTCGCGGAAATGGCTACTTACGATTGGGAAGATCGGCAAGTCCTATGAGAGCTTCCACCGTGCTGATACACTCCAGAGTAAATGTTAATTCCATGTCGTTTGTCACCTGCTTACTCTTATCACTGTACAGATATTCCACCAGTCGCGGCGCGAGAGCGTGGATGTACGGGGTACTTATGTTGCGCTCAGGATGCAGGAATATCGTTCTTAACGTTTGCACGCATTTCAGCTTCACCTACGGCAAGTTAGTCCCATTGAGTCTCCAAATCAATAACTGTAAACAGTAACCGAATATATATTTGTCCTTCGTTGTCAACTCACCGTTATGTTCTCAGACTGAAACGCATGACGGAAATGATTGATGCATGGGAATTGCAGATTCGGGGCACTCACTACCTCCGGCGATGCGTGAAGCACAAACACTGCGATACCCAACATCATAGCCACTTCGTCCATCTTGGTTTCGTCGTTTCCTGCAAGTAAAGTCCCAACGTAGTAGAGACAGAATAAATATATACTCTCATCTTTCTATGTTCTAATATACTTTACGTTGCCTTTTTATTCAGGTCTCTGGTGCAGAATGTTTGTGCTTCTAGTAAAAAATGGAGTCGAAAGACAAGGAATCATACCTGTTTTAGCCAGGTCGATGATCTTCGCAAGCGCGCTTCGCAGCAACCCTGTCCATTGATCCCGATTCCTGTGATCCTTGGCGTACTTGTTAATAGTAAGACTTTTGACACAGTGTAACGCTGCATGGACAGGCGCTTCGGCACCGGCTTTGGTGATATCGTTGTCCGAACGCACCGCAGTTTCTCGTATTACACCCGTTGCCAAATACAACAACGTCGGGAGGATTGCTACTGCACCTTTAGGAGATGACAAAGTGAGTGACGTTGAAGCAAATGATGTACCAATGATAGCTCTATACTAATAACGTCAGTTATATGATAATAAAGCTAATGTGATAATGTTAGCTTCATGTATACCTTGCGGAGAACACAAAGTAGGAAGAGATTCCAATATGTTGAGCGACAGAGCGATCAACTTGCCGCTCTCTTCAGACGGCACGTATCCTTTCTGAGACAAGATGGCGGTAGCGCCGCCAGGATTCGGATTTAACGCCGGTATCTGCCGCACCAAGAGACACAAGCACACCTCCAAGACAGCGAACACTAGCGATTTGCCTGGCGTCAACTCACCACTCTCCTCTCCCTCGCCCAACAGATCCACCTCCAATGCTTCGTTACTTTCTTGCGCCGTCGGTGTGTCATCTGTCGCGAGAAAAGTACGCACGATGTATCTATGTGTTTCACATTCCTCGGAAATAACCTCGGGACTCGTACATACCTTTAAGCTTTAGTTTCTTTTTGGCAGCGAGATCCTCCTGCGCTGCCTTCATCACTTGCTTCAACACTTCCATCACTATCATCTGAATTACGTAGTTTTCCCGCGTTAAGAGCAATCTTTGAAACGACAAACACACAGATATCAATATTATGCTATAGAGCAACCGATCGCATACTTTTGTATATGTATAGCTACCTGTGAAGAACATTACACAACTCGATGGGCAACGAACGGTCTGTGATGAAGACCTTGCGCGCCCATGTCGAATCGAGTAGGGTGTACAAAGCATTCAAACATGTCTCTATATTTTGCGGAGATTCAGAAGAGCGAGGACTACACAGAGCCTCCATGCATATACCTGCAATTATAATCGTATTGTATTTAATGTTTATAGATCAGGATCAACGTAAAATATTATACGATACATGAGAACAAGAGAGAATCCAATAAATATTACAATATATATATATATATATATATAGATATAGATATATATATAAATACATGATACATATTTACCGAATAATAAGTGAAAACGCTCAACATTCATGTTGGTTTTCGAGGTCTCGTCATTGTTGTTATTATTGTTGTGGTTATTGTTGTTGTTAGTCGTATTAGTCGCTTTCTCTTGATTATTGTTGCCCATTTCGAATCCTCTCGCGTTCAGCCAAAGTGTCGCGGCATGGAGAATCGGCGCCCACGATTCTACGTAATGAGGACGCGCGGACTCCATCGTGTCCGTCGTGTAAAAGGCTCCACCGTCGTGCGGCAACTGACTGGAGAACTCTAAGAAGGCCCGTATCGTAATTTCAATGAGATTCGAATCCATTTTAATGGAAAAATACGCACAATGTATAAAAACTCGCGTAATAAAAGACGCCGACATACCGGGTGGTAAAGAGAGTAACGCGTGATCTCTTAGCGCGGACAACCAATGTTGACTCAAACTCAACAGCTCTGGTTGGACGAGACTCAACAAGCTCTCGCTCTGGAATTCAAACTCCCCGAAATCCTCATCGTTCGATTCGTCGGTCTGATTCGTATTTCGATTAGTCGTGTCTTTGCTGTTCAACGCTGAGCCATCTCTTATCATAGCGACTACGTACACCTGTTGACAATTACGAAACAATGAATTATTTAATCTTTCTTCTCCCCGGTATAATTTCATTTTAAATATCGAGGACGATATCTGAGGACATACTTCCGCCCATGCTTTTAGGATCGCTAATCTCTCCAACGTCGACAAGCTCTCGTTGTAAAGCTGCGGCCGAGTATTACCCTCCCTCAATTTCTCCAAGGAGGACACGAGCAGCTGGTGCACCCTTCGAAGGTCATTTAGATCTCTGGCAACGCCACTGCCGATCCAGGCGCTGCAAGCTTCACAGGCTGCGGCCGTTACGTGCGACGGGGTCTCCGCGGAAAATGCTGGTCTTAAAGCAGCTCCAACCTTTGAGCATTCATTATCAGGTATAATAGACGTCGGACATCCAATTTTCAGAAGACACTGAGCAAATATTTGTTTACCTGTGCTTGAAACTGCTCGAGCAACAAGTGTCCGGGGAACTCCGGCTCAGGAACTTTGGCAAATTTGTCAATGATCTCTTGCAGGGTTTTCAGACCTTCGAGCCGCAGCGGATCACAATCGCTTGTGGCGGCCATAAACGCCATGCGCACCAAATCCGAAAGATGTAACACCAGGAAGTCTCCTAAGCAGAAGCGTTAAAAATTAACCGAATCAGTCTCGACGAGAAAAGAGGTAGAAATGCTTGCCAATCAGCAGCCTCACCTTTGCCCTTAGACAGCTGCATCTCTTTGGCCAAGGCGAGATCAAAGTGCGCTTGCTTGTTATTCACGCAGGCTGCGACGATGCGTCTGACACATTGCGCCGCGAAGACTCTGGTTGGCCATCTCGGCGTGATGGACGGCCGCTGCTTGGCGGATTCGTCGGCGTGGAATTCGGCCTGATCGTCGTCACCTTCCGCATCCGCGTTCTCATTATCAGCGGTACTATCTTCTACATTCGCCGTGTTACCTTCCTCGATTGTACTCGATTCTGCGCGTCAGAAAGTCGGGTTATCGCAGAGAAAAGTTTTTTCCTCGATGCTCTGAGGTGAGGGCTCGGCTACTTACCTGAAGCTATCGTGAGAACGTCTTTACACAATGATAACCACTGAGACAGATTGTCGGCCGCTAATATTTGCAGCATGCTGGTTAGAGTATCGTGAATATCTCGGATCAGTTTACTGTCGGTTTCCGTATCGAGCATACTGAAGAGAACGCCTGGAAGCCCGGTCTCCGTGATCACGAGACCCTCCACCACATTAGTGTCTCGGCTCTCATTAGCTAACGTCATCGCGTGCTCGCACACTTCCTTCGCCTCGCGCTGAGCGAGTTGCCGGAGACACGATATCGCCGCTTTACGCAGGAGCAAGTGATTACTAGACAGAGTACGCTGCAAAGAAAAAGAAAAAGGAAGAAAAATATGTACACTCTCACAGTAAGCATTTTCACACGTAAATGATACTCCTTGTTTCTAAGCGAACTTACACATAACGTAGGAACGAGGGAAGACAGATTGACGTGTCTCGGTGCAAATAGATGCAATTGCTGGAGGCAGCCGGTTGCTTCCGCTTGAACAAGTGGATCCTGATGGTCCTGCATAATGGCACACGCACACAAGAACGATGACCGCGCCATACAGATCGTCGATGTGTTACCTGAAATGTATTGTTCTCCTTATAGCTGATTCTTTTCTCTATTCTGTTCTCTCTAAAAAAATTGGTCATCTATCCCGCACAACTGGTCTATACACAATCAGTTATCGGTTTAAATACTACCTTGTAATTCCGGTCCTATCGTCGTGATCAGCGCCGACAAGACCTTGCCGATACATTGATGCACGTCGATGTAAGAGTGAGGAACGTTGAGAAGGAGAGTCAGCGCCAGGGACAACGTAGGTTCTACGTAGCCTCGGAACATTGGTCCGCCGGAATCAGCTATCAGAGCCAGAGCATGAAGCGCCCAAACCTGCAGAGGGGAACGTTTGAATTGCAGGTTCCAACGTGAGACTAAGCAAATAAAGCAATGAGATACGGAGCAGATACGAGAGCGGAACGGTGTCTCACTTGTACTACGGGAGACGAGTTATCCTGCGCGAGAGCGAGCAAGATGCTGACGCTGGTGTTGAGGTGTTGGCTGGAACCCATCCCGCCGACGTACTTATGCAAGCAGCCTAACGCCAACGAGTGGCCGGTCCTGCTGGCGACGTCGCGCGCAGACTTCAAGCGGTCGAAACTGGTCTGCGCTAATTCCGCAGTGAATTTCGGATCGGAAATCACCTGCGCCATTCTGCCAACCGCTTCTCCCGCGGCCCATCGTAGAATAGGATTACCGCTGACCAGTGTGCTCTGAAAGACGAAGCGTTTTAGCTGATGAGCCGTATGACGAACCAACAGCAGCGACTTATTCGTCGTTTAACGACGCAGTAGTGTCTTACGATGATAAGATTAGTTGCTGATTTTTTGACGTCTTCCTGCCCGAAACCTGTCTTCGCCTCGTTCAGGCCCTTCAGCCCGCTCAATACAGCCGTGAACACATTCATCTGTATCGCCTCCTGCCTACCGGACTTTGTATGCTTTATACACTCGCTGAAGTGATCCAGCATCTGCAGTCTGTGCTTGTTCGCTACACGTGGGAAGATTTGGCCGAACAACGTGACCGATAAGTCGATCACCGCTACGCCCAATGGCAATGGACCGGGTATTATTTCAATCTGCAAACAATCGTAATTTGTTACAATTTTATCGAATTTGTAGCGACAAATGACGATGGAATGTAAGGTAGACTTTAAGCTCACATGTGGTATCGGTCTGTAAAGGCAGCATGTGTTATGCTCTAATGCACCGGACCCAGCAGCACTATTTGGTTGAAGCTGAAAGAGAAAAATCATAGATCATCTAGTAGTTCAATAATTTTAGCTCATATCATGAGCTAAAATCATGAGAAGAAAACGAAACTGTGCGTTGTGTAACCTAAAGAAAAAAAGAGACATGAAGAAATATAACAAATATAAATAAGTAAGCATTCTTCATTGAGATAAACAAGTAAATTTTTCTAAAATGGCACAAGCAAAACATAATGTAATGAGTATTATGTGTAAACCATCAAATATTCAATGTTTTAAAAAAGCGAGTATAATATAAAATATAGTGAAATTGAGTATTACTACTATCACAATGTAATACAACAATAGTAAGGAAAGGTATAGAAATGCATAAAGTCAAATAATTCTTAGTTTTATACAACATAGGTAGAGAGTAAAATTGTTTTTGTAACAGAAACGAGCAGGCACACTTTGCAGAACATCTTACTCACATGTTCCAAATCTGCCCTTCTGTTTGGTTCCATCTAAACATGAATAAGCACGTTAACTTGTCAGTTAAGATAAAAAGTATCATTCCCTAAGAGCTTAAATTAAGAATAAAAAAAACTACTATATGCTACTTTTTAATTATCACAAAATTGTATATATCTAAATAAAATCAAGTTAATTATTAAAATTTATTCCAATTGGAGTCAGAAAAAGTATACATAAAATCAGGAAAAATAAAACGTGGTTTGCAAAGTATAAAACAATTACACGATAAAAAATATACTCTTTACAATACGTCTGCTTTAGTCATTCGACCGCATAAACTTTTTTCGACGAGGATATAAAGGAAAAAATATTGATTACATGAGATTTATAAAATTAGAATTACTTTTAGCTTATGAAATCTCTTCAAGAAGGAAAACGAGTTCTTTAGTATAAGAATATTCTTGAAGATAATTCTAAAACAAAGAAACAAGCATGTTCAGTGGAACATTACGAAGATGTTGCATGTTGCACACAAAGATAAAATTTATTTCACTACGCAAAATATACTAATGAACTCACTTGATCCTCTATCGTACGATGATCGGTCTCCTGAAGCCACGTTCCAAGAATCACGGAATCGTTCGCGTGACAAACTACACGTAGCAACGAAGTAGTCGTGTTTCCAGGATTATCGGTGAGCGTGAATTCAGACACCAGCATCCTCAAAAGATGCGTGTAAGAACCTACCAGCATATCGAATAATATAATGCAAGAAGACAGGATAGCACAAATTTTAATGATTTTAACTTACGACATGTTGCTATTACCTTCGAATGTTTGCGGTGGTAACAACAACAGCGTTTCGTACAAGCGTAAACGCACCATAGCCGCGGGAGCTTTCAGCTGTTGACCATAATTCTTCAAAACGGGTGACAAACTGAAAGAAACATTTACGCGACAGTTGTGGAAACAATCCGAAGTGAGAAAATATTATAAGACATTCGTACTTTGTCAGCATCGCCAGGGCAGATTCGATCGGTGTGAGCAATCGCCGTGTAATATCGTCATTCAGAAGCTCCGGGCAATGCAGCAGGAAGCTGTACATAGCGGAAAGTGCGCCAGCACGTCCTTCCAGAGTCACCTGCCACGTGAAAGCGTCGCCCCGCGCTTTCTCGCTCTCGAGCTCTTTGTTCGAACGCGGGAAGGAGTTTCTCCACAATAGTAACATTCTCGGCAATAAGCCCTTCACCACTGCGGTACCTTTGTTCGTTATCGTAAAACGACATTATATATACATGCGGTTACATAGACGTGTCATTTAATATGTAAGACATTTATACCTAGAGTCATTATTGCTCCTATTAAGAGCCATCCTGCGTGCGTGCGGTTCAAAGACAAACGGCTGTTCTGGCTTGCGCTTCTGAGCAGTTCTTCCGCTGTATTGAAAATGATCTGAAAATTGCGGTCTTGATAAGTGGATCTCACATGTATATGTGCGGAATCGATAAATAAAAATAACAGCATATACCTTCCCCTTAGTGTGAGGGACTCCCAGAGGCGACAAACGAACACTTCCCAACACTGCAGCGAGAGCGCTACTGTAACCAGCGATCGCTTCTGGTGAGCTACGCATATTCTCAATTCCGTCAACGCAGCGATCGATCAAAGGTGTTATTTGGCTCGGCACTGCCACACATATGCACCGTAAGCACCAAGAGGCAGCCAACCTAGCCGCTTGACACGGGTGCACCAGTACAGCCATTATAGTATCGATTAAACCTGTAATGTGATAAAAATATATAATTAGACCACGCTTGTACGATGATAAAGATTTGCTCCACGTATACACATATAGAAAAAGTTTGCGGGAAAACTTGCAATTTAAATGCGCTGATACGTACTCAGAGATTGATCAGACAATAAATTCGTGGCTGTGGTACCTAGTCCCAGTATCAAATTACCCATTTCTTGTAACGCGCAGACCAACAAGTGCTGGCTAAATAGCGTCTCTTGATTACAGTCTTTAGCATTCTCAGGACTGAAATCTGCAAAGCGATTGACATTGCATCATCGAGTTACGTGAACGACTGAGATATTTTGGTAATGATAATTTAAGTAATGTTATTACCGATAGAATTCATCTGTTTTAAGATAATATGTGCTATTTCTTTGCAAGCAGCGGCTTGAGCCCCTTCACCCAATAATTTGCCAACGGTACCGCGCAATATGAAATTCACGCATTTGCGCGAGTATACCGCCTCGACGTGTGAATTAGCAGCTTTCGGATTCGTAACCAGATCTAGAACGTGCGCAACTAGCGCGCCGACGTTCCGTTCCAGCCAAGTACCTCCCAGCATTTGTACAAATATTACATAAGCCTGTAAACATCAATGAATATCAAAGATGCATAAAAGAAATTTAATCTTCAAAAACATATCTTCAAAAGGGCGTAGGCTTGTTACTTGTAACATATAATTGCTTACGTGTGTCACTCCAACTCGCACTTCTCTATTTATGCTGGAACTCCCTTTTATTATTTCACCAGTTCCTTTCAGGAAACCGACGCCACCTCTCAGAAATCCGGACATCAGGATATTTAACACCTCCTCGAGAGATGTCTGTTTGGCGCCTTTATTGTGAGCAACTACAAAGGACAGAAACACATATTAGAGAGACATACAATGGCAAGGCACTCTTGTAATAAATTTTCACTACAACTTACCCGTAGGATTTTTTATCTTGGGCGAGGGAAGTTGCGTCATTGCCACCAAGGTGCCCAGCAATTTAGCAACAGAACATCTTACTTCATAATTGGAACCTTCAAATGCCCGAAAGCACAATGTCGCCACGCTTTCAATCTCGGTTGTATATAAAAATGGAGCATGATTCAGCATTTCCAATAAACACTGTAAGAAAAAGCAACCACTGTAATTATAGAAGAACAATATTATAGTGGACGTTTTTTCTGTAGTTGCAAAAATACCTTAGCAGCAGCACATCTCACTGCCATTACTCGGTCAGTTAAATAATGCCTGGAAACTTTATATATCTCCTTATGCACATTAGTTATTGCTGATCCCATCCCAGCACATACCTGATTATAATGTATGTGTAAAGTTATGTTACATCAAAAGTATATTTTATTCAAACAAATGTTTAAAAAATAGAGCAATCAATTACCTTTTCCAATGTGTGCATAATTTCTATTCGTGTTTGTGATTCTGCAGAACGTAAGGACTTTATCAGAATTTGCACTGTCTCTTCATATGACCTGCCCATCATTCTTCCTAGTTTTTCATACATACATCCCACACAACAAATAGCAGCTCTAGAGAAACACATGTATATACATATATATTACAGAATTACTATTAGTTAATATTTCTCATTACAAAATATTAATAAAATATTTTAAGACTATTAGTTATTAAAGTGATCTATAAAATAAAGAGATTAGAGATTAAAAAAATTAGAATTATAAAAAATATAAAATTATAAAAAAGAAATAAAAATTAAATTACTTACAACTTTGTAGGTAGAAAGCTTGGTGAGTCATCTTTATTTCTCAGAATATCATTGCATTTGTTGACAGTATCAAAAAGCAAAAATGTATCACCAACACTAAATAAGGTAGCAAGGCATCTTGCTATAAGACGTCGTGTGGGTGGACCAGGAGCTCCTTGCATATGTCTGGTCAGTTGCTCTACAAGTTTTTGCTGGCATCCTTTAATATCACTCTGTAAATATAACATTTATTGCAATTATATATGACTATAAAAAGTTATAAAAAATATCTTTAATATCTTAATTATAATATGGATAAAGATGCCTTTTATATAAACAAAATTCTTAAAGTAAAAATAAAAATACCTTTTGAGCAGCAACCAAGACTTTATCCAAGAAGCGTAACCATTCAAAGATAAAAACTGGCCGCTTGGCTTCTGGGATTTGATTAAGAGCATCCTCATTGAGGGTCAGACTATGACTCAACTCCATCATCCTTTCAAATAGATATACATGCACAAATTGTTTTCAAATATCAGCCACTGTCTTTCTGTAAATCAACTTAAATTTAGCATTTGATGACATATATATTTAATTAGAATTTAATTAGTAATACAACGCATATTAAGGTCAGATAGATCTTAGAGATGTCTGTCATTTTTATCATTTTATTTTTAAGTAAATGCACACATACATACGTACACATACACACACACGCACACATATATATATACCATAAGAAACAACAAAATATAATTAGAGCATTCGAAATGTAATACACACCACAAGAAAGAACGGTCCAAATGTTATCACTCAGTGACCAGAGACATTTTTATGACACTCCGTATCCTTGGCAGGATGTCATATTTTTATGCTCAATGTGTATAATTGCGCAATATGCCACGTTCACGAATATTTTCAAGAGCGAAACAACCGCAACACTCCACGACACGCCAATGACAGCATTATGCGGCGTACATCATCTATAAATACCGTGCTACAAATTATTATTGCAATGGCGAACAGCCGCTTCTATACGGATGACAAATTTTAACAGGTTAGGCTAGAAATGGCTGATAATCGATTAATAAGTCGATGTTTGATTCTTTTCTTTAATTAAAAGATCGATTATCAAAAATTTGTCGACCTAATGATCGAGATTACGAATCTCGTGCAAACGAGAATTGCTAAGCTATAGTTTATGTCACGTATACTATAGATTTTCAGCACTGCCAGCAGAGAGAAGAATGAGAGCGGCCACCGGCCGTATTTCGGGAATATGGCTAGGCGCATTTTAGATACGCCATCTGACCAAAATGCGCCTAAACTATGACCGCTAGGCGCACTTTCGCGGTGATAAAAGTAAAATACGCCTAGGTTCGTGTCCGTACTACTTCCATGCAATGAATAGTAGATTAGAAAAAGACAGACGACAGACAATCGTTCCGTCTTTGTCTCACTATTGTGCGGCGCGCGGCAGTAAATAGAACGTGGGGAGGTGAGGGCGATCTTATCGCTAAGCGAACATCTCTCCGCTTTTCTTTCATCTTTCACGCTCCAGAGATATCAAAAGACGCGGTCTTCTGTCAAGGGAACGTGCGAAGCGAGGAATTATTTTTCACGCACGCCAGGTAGCACATGGGAGACTAGACGAGCGTCGACATATTATCTGTTTCTTTCCCGCTCGTCTAGCTTATTGACTGCGTGAGCCGCGAGATTTTTCTCGCTACTCCTATACCTCGCTCTTTCTCTCTCTCGCTCGTTCTTTCTCTCTCTCGCGCACTTGCTCGCTCTTCCACTCTTCTCGTGTTCTTACGACTTGATTAAATATATTAATTACATGACAATATATATATAAAATAAATGAACACATATATATTGTATATGTATATAAAGAATATTTAGTATTAATGCACAAATAAAGAAGAGAGAATTATAATTGAGAGACGAAAAAGTTAATAGAATGCCACTCTTTAGAGCCAATAATACATCTTTTAAAAAATGATTGTTATTAAGTATATGACAGAATAATTATTTATGCTAATAAATTTAAATTAAAAATTTAAATGAAATGTTATTTGTTTGTAAAAGATATTCCATTGTTACCATTTTACATCTATCTATCTATCTATCTATTTATCCATCTATCTTTTCTTCCTATGTATCATTGCAACCTATCCTGTTCTATCCAATTTCTTGCAAATGTAAACAATGAATATTACATTAATTTTTATATTAAATATATTATATATTATCTATAACATGCTGAATTAATAATTAATTAAAAATTCAACAGGATTATACTATAAAAACAAACACTTACGTAAATAAAGAAGATAAATCATAGTTATTATCTAGTTAGCAAAAAGTTTTGCGCGATATAATCTATTTCTATTGACGGAGATTCAAACCATTATACCAGACGCCGTTTCCCGCTTTTTGTCCCACAGACCAAACCACATAGGTAGCACGTTAACACTCTTTTAGTCGTTATCTATATTTCTATGGTCGTACCAAATTAATATAACTTAAAGTCGTAATTTTGATAAGG